TGCGCGCACATGTGTGCAAAACTGGACTATCTCATTCCATGGTACAGTCCACACCACTGTTGGGTTACATAAGAATGGCCATACTGGGTCAGACCAAAGGTCCATCTAGCCTAGAATCCTGTCTTCTAACAGTGGTCCATACCAGGTACCCCAGACGGAATGAACAGAACAGGGAATCAAGTATCCCACCTTTGTTGCCCATTCCCAGCTTCTGACAGAGGCTAGCTCCCAACTTAGACGGGTCACAAACACCCAAACAAGGTGCAGGTCACAGCCTGGATGTCTGTGTATAACAGCAGCCCTGGTCCAGCATGCTTTGTATTTCTGCACAAATTGGCTCTTACACCTTCCTAGTGGTACAGTAGGACCTGTTGAGCTGAACTGTGAGTCTTCCCTGGGATGTTAGAAAACATTTGACTGTGTTCTTTCAGTACAGATAACGCCTCTGCGTTTTCCACTGATGTTAACTCACCACAGAAATCGATGCTGTCCAGAGGTGACTCAGTCTGGCATTCAGCCATCAATCAGTGAGATAGTGTGCCTCAGTGTCTCTTTCTACACAACAGCTTGTGTTGACCATAGTTTCCCAGCTCTTAGAAGCTTTAAGTCTGTTTACATGCACCATCTGTGGGATACTATTACCATGACGCCTTTTAACATTGCCGGTATCTTCTTCACTCACCTCTTCTGCCACCCCAAAAAGTCCTTCCCAAGATTTCTGCATGTTATTGTCCCATTCCAAAGAACATTTACTAGTATCTTGGCCATGCCACACTTTTTGTTTTTTACTGTTCCTGAGGTTAGTCTCAACCATTTCCATTATGACCACTTACTTATGCATCAGTGTCCCCTTCTCAGGAGTCTTATATATACGATCTAGGAGTCCCTTCACTTCTCTTCAGTATAGAAAATCAAATGGGGAACCCCTGCCAACTCTTAGGGCACTTCCCTATAAGTGAATAGGAAATAGGGTAACATTCCATCTGTGATCTCATTCCAGCTTTAGGTTCTCTTATTTCATTCCCAGCCTAGATTTTGGAATTCCATTGAACCTCTCCACCAGACCATTTGTCTCTGGGTGATGTGGGATGGCTTTTAATTGTTCTGCCCCACCCAACTTCCATAAGTTCCTGAATAGCTGAGGTGTGAAATTTGACCTTTGGTCAGGTGAAATCTCCTTAGGGAAACCCCATCTGCTAAAAATAGTGAAAATTCCTTTTTGTGACAGAATCCACTTGAGTGAGGAGCTGATGCCCCAGAATGTGATATGTACCTGTCACTTAATTTTGCAAGATCCAAATAAAATAGTTTTAGCCACAACCTTCTTAATAGCTGGAGTCCTGCACAGATACAAAAATGGTATCTGCATCCACATCTGCAAAAATGATCTGAGGATATCCTCATTGACCAAAGTGGGTATCTTCAGGGGGGATATAAAGTGGATATCTGCAAATTTGCAGTGTTCTAGATACAAAATTTGTGTCTTTGTCCGCAAAAATGAGTCACGGATATCCTCATTCACATCTGCAGATGCAGATACCTAAAGATATAAAGCAGATATCTATGAGTTTATAGGGCTCTACCAATATCTTTGAACAAACCCAGCTTTATAGGCATTTTATACATACTGAAGTGAGATAACACTGGCTCCATGTTATGGAGTACTGAGGGAGTTGGCAAATGTCATTGAGCCTTTGTCCATTATCTTTGAAAAATCGTGGAGATCGGGAGAGATCCCGGATGTTTTGAAAAAGGCAAATGTCGTGCCCATCTTTAAAAAAGGGAAGAAGGATGATCCAGGGAACTATAGGCCGGTCAGTCTAACCTTGGTTCCTGGAAAAATCATGGAAGGGATCCTTAAGGAATCCATTTTGAGGCACTTGGAAGGGAGAAAAGTGATCGGGAATAGTCAGCATTGATTCACAAAGGGCAAGTCATGCCTGACCAATCAGATTAGCTTCTATGATTAGGTAACTGGCTCTGTGGATATGGGAAAGTCAGTGGATGTGATATACCTTGACTTTAGCAAGGCTTTTGATACGGTCTCCCACAGTATTCTTGCCAGCAAGTTAAGGGAATGTGGATTGGATAAATGGACGGTAAGATGGATAGAAAGCTGGCTAGAAGGCCGGGCCCAGCGGGTAGTGATCAACGGCTCGATGTCAGGATGGCGGTCGGTTTCTAGCAGAGTGCCCCAAGGTTCGGTTCTAGGACCAGTTTTGTTCAATATCTTTATTAATGACCTGGATGAGGGGATGGATTGCACCCTCAGCAAGTTTGCAGATGACACTAAGCTAAGGGGAGAGGTAGATATGCCTGAGGGCAGAGGTAGGGTCCAGAGTGACTTAGACAAATTGGAGGATTGGGCCACAAGAAATCTGATGAGGTTCAACAAGGACAAGTATAGAGTCCTGCACTTGGGACGGAAGAATCCCAAGCATTGTTACAGGCTGGGGACCAACCAGCTAAGTAGCAGTTCTACAGAAAAGGACCTCGAGGTTACAGTGGATGAGAAGCTGGATATGAGTCAACAGTGTGCCATTGTAGCCAAGAAGGCTAATGGCATATTAGGGTGCATTAGGAGGAGCATTGCCAGCAGATCCAGAGATGTCATTATTCCCCTTTATTCGGCTTTGGTGAGGCCACATCTGGAGTACTGTGTCCAGTTCTGGGCC